AAGTATAATCGCCTTGGTTTTGCTCAAAAATTCAAACCTGCAGTATTCAGTTAGTGAAACGGTATCGGTGTTACTGCCTTAATCCGAGTAAGTCCATATGTTTTGCTGCTAGTGGTGTAGATGGTCCTAGGTATTGCAGTTATTTGGCGTTATTTCATTAGTTACGGTGGTTAAATGTCGGTTTTTGTTAAAGTGGTAGTGAGGGGTTACTCCATGTGAGTTGCTGACAGCATTCTGTTTATGCTTAATGAATGTACGGTTTTGTTACTACTGTCAGGTTTGGTTTGACATGAGGGTTTGTTTTTGGAGAGCGATTCATCATTGGTATGCATACTATAATATAAAATGCACCTGTTTGTCAACAGATTTGATGCAAGCAGGCAATATAACGAAACCATGGCTTAATGTTTCGACCATTCGATTTCCGTTCATGTGTTAGAGCATCGTGAAGTGCACCGATTTGGGGTTTGTTATGGTATATTAATGTTAGTAAGACAACTTAGTCACTGTAGGCTACCCTGGCGGGCGTTCGGCGATCGGAGGATGGGACGGCTGTCGCCTCGTGTGGTGAACTATTTGGGATTAAGTATGACTAGTTAATGACGGCTAATGAGCCATAAGTGTCCATTCTAGTTTTCATTGTCCTTGCAGACGATCGCTACAATTACGCCTTACAGTTGCACACCATATCCAATTGCGTTTACGAATTTCTATGTACTTGCAGCGGGCGAACGCAAAGTTAAATTGGCTGCCCCAGCAAAGGAGCACTTCCCTAATCGGCTATTGAGACGGGAAAAAAAACCCCTCGGTATTAAATTACTGACAGTTGCTAGGTACGAGGCCTCCTGTGGACAACAAATCGTCTTTCCGAGTACGTGGTCGAACACTTACAACTCGTAACTTGTGCCAGCTGGGGGCAACCTACATATGATGGTCAAAACCCGACGTATGTGGTAAACATAACGTTGCCTTGGTAACTTCCAGTTCCCTGATTTACACAGTTCCCCCGCCAAAATGTTTGCTTTCACGCTTTCTTCCGCACTTTTCTCTACACATTTTTTTAATTCGCTTACTTTGCTGATTACCTTTCGAGAGCATGTCCTATAATCTTATTGCACATTCTGAGATAATTCATTTGAGTATTTTCTCATACATAATTAACATTATGCTGCAAAAGGTGGCAGCTGATGAGCAACGTCGAAATTTATGCATCTATTAAATTCTGCTGCTCATGCTATAGTCCAATTTGCACATGTGAAAGTATGTTTTTAAGTTATTGACATCGTTGGTGTTACTGAAAACCACGATCTAATTAAAATTGAATCGGGCTAGTTTCAATGTCACTATTCATTTGGCAATATTGATTTCCGGAACGATTTTCTCGACTTCTGTAGGTTTTCGCAAATATGGTCAATCAATCGGACTGATAAATATGCATATGCATATATTACACTCGCTTCCTCATTAGACACGGACGAGAACCTTTTTAAGCACCGAACACCATCTAGTGATAAAGGGATATGCTATAATACATAACCTTTGTCAAACGAGACTGGGGAAGAAAGTGTTACACAATATCTCACCACAACATTTCCGTATGCTTTCCATGAAAAGTCGGATGCGTAGGCGGTGTCATTTCTGTCCAGCCAATGGAGATAACTAGCCACCTCGGCAGGGGACGAAAAATTATTCACATGAATGAAAGAATTTGGAGGCGCCAGAGCGCAGTAATCTCCTCGTGGAGCGCCCATCACCACGGGCACCATACCGAACCTGTGATAATATTAAAGGCTGAATTCGATAACTAAGGCTGGCCCAGCTAGGTAATGTATTAATTTACTGTGCTAACGTGTGATCTACCGGTTATATTTGCTAAGGCATTATTTAGGGGCTAAGGTATATGCATCAAGGACTGGATCCCCAGTTAGTCTTCAGACTATCAAGAAATGTACAAACAACAATCAAAGTGTCAAGCTTGCAGAAAAGTCATTCGTTATATGGCGTGAGGCGTGGTTGCTATTTTTTGCGTCTTTCAGTCTGTATTTTGCCGTCTCGGTCCATTCTACCGTTCGTTTAGGTGTTAATAGATAACAGCTAGCTCCATGTGGCGGTTATTGCACGAATCATCGTAGCGCCTGGCCTCAAGAAATTATTGGTCTTTTTGGACGGGGAAATTCCGACGAGGCGTGTTTTGTAACATGCGAAGCTGTATCCTGTATCATGCGTATGAATAACCACTTCGGATGAATGATCACGTCTGTTCACTGCCAGTTGGTGTTCCTGAATTGTGAAGTGACGGACCTTTCGTGTGGACGCATTATACGGCATCGCAGGCTATGCGCTCGGAGGATTCATGCAGGAACCGCCAAAGGGAGACATATGTTATCTTTAAACACCTCAGAGAACGGTAAAAGGGACGAATACCACACAACGCAGACTGACAGAAGCCACCACTACCAGTCTGGTCCCACTTAATCTAACTATTTCTTTTTCTGCACGTTGTAAACAATAGTTGCTGTTTACACATTGTATTGTTGGTCCGAAGACGGGCTGGAGAACCAGTCTCGAAAATTAACTGGTTAGATTTACCTTTATATTCCAAACAACATCTTTTCTTCAAATTAACATTGCTTTGGATTCCGGTTTGCAGTAAGTTTTGTTCACATATAAATACGGACTAGTACCGTATAGTCTTTAAAGCTTAAGCGGGTAATTCTACTTACAACTTGATCGATTTCTACATTTTTTGAGCAAACTTTTTAGTCGGTTTGAATTCAACTTTAATTTTAAATATATCATTTGACTTCTTTAACGACGCCCTGTATCGACCATACGCGATAACTGGCTTTCCTGGGCTACCTTTTATTTTATTGCGTAGCCAAATTATTCCCCCGTCACTGGCGACAGCTTTCTGGTTTGCCGAGCATTGCCTATTGCAAGAATTACGATGCGCCGTGTAGATTTTCGAATAGAAACTCCACACTTTTAGAAACGTCAATCTCAGCTCTTAAGTAACGGGAAGCAAGTCGTAAGCAATAGTTTATTTTGGAGTGAAATGTCAACGGTTTATAAGCAATAACTAATAACATTTTTAAACTAACTGCAATGCGTTCACGAAGAGCCTTCTCGTGGTATAGTACACGCAATTAGAATTTTCGAAAGCAAGGAACAGTTTATAGCGAAGCGATAGTTTTCGCAGACACATACCACGTTCGCGTGAGCAACGTCGCCGCCTTCAACCGTAAACGGTAAACTGAAGTAAAGGGCAAAGAAATTTGGAAAAAATTTTCGAAGTTCGCTTCCAACGCATTGACCCAGTCACTGATTCCAAAATGCCAAAATTGAGCCGTCTATATAAATAATATGTGTGATCTTTCTAAATAGTAAATAATTATGTCCTGAGCAACGTAATTATTTCCCTTTTACTACAGACGGAACACATGTGAATTTGTTCTGCTAAAGAATAATAAATTTGAAACTTTTCTGATTTTGAAATAGTAAAGAGATGCTCATGGTGAAGTGGTCGGACATATTTGGCTAACTGTGCCCTAGGGAAGTGTCTAGACTACAGTCGTCCTCGTATGAAGTTTTCCTCTGTAATTCACAGTCATGTTGGATGCAATGCCTCCGGTGTGTTGGAATGATTTAAGGTTGTTTTGCTTATATGTGGGAGAGTATAGGTCTTCTAAAGCGTCAATTAAAAAAATAAATCGTTCCAGTTCCTGGAATGTTACCTTCAAAAATAGGCAATTAGAGCCTAATGTCTTTCACCAGAGTGCATTCAGTTGTTGGTTGGTTCTTCTTCCGGTCTATGTTCCGGAATCAACCTCGCAGTTCTTGCAACGCTTTTAAATTTGCTTAAAGTAATTTTGGCTTCATTGTTGATGCACAGTATGCCATTCTACCACTTTTGAATACGCGCCTCACTTTTGCATTTGATTTACTATCTATCTGATAATGGTGCATATGGTAGGAACTGAGATCACATGGTCGTCCCTGATTACTCCCTTTGCGTCAGGGTCAACTTCGAGTGAATTTTTGAAAACAAATGACGTGCAAATGATCTCCATGAATTTCGGCCTTCGAGCAGACTAGAGCATACATTTGGTGTTTCGATAAAAATTTTGACACATATGTAGACGCATATGAGCACAAGATTAGCGTAAAATTGAGCAAAAGTGCAAAAAATACACAGGAAATAATCATTTTCAAATGCAGGGAATGTAACAGGGAACATTGCCGATACAATGCTTACGATTTACTAAGGCAACGCAGGATTAATGGACGACTGTTCACTAGTACTGGCCGTCAGCGTCTATTATGCATCACTGATGGAGAAGCGAGAAAAAATCGAAGACGGGGGTCACTTTTTGACTGGCATGGAAAACGTCAGCATAAGAAAACGACCAACCACTCCGACCACCCCCAGTCCGCCTGGTTTATTGTAACAACCATGTTGAGACGAATGCTGGGCAAACGTACTGTAATTATAAGCTTATTTTTAAACGTCAAGTCTCCACGGCTGCAACTCTGTAGCACATAGTTGTCAGTCATAATAACAAATGGCTCCAAATGTGGTCGGCAACGAACGGGCAGGTCAAAGTTCACATGTCCAACACCGATATAATTTAAGGCAGACGGCAAGGCGGACTAACTTAAGGTCAAGAATCTCAACTACCACTAAATTTTGACGAGGGAAGCAAAAAGGTTTTCGAAACGTCAGTTCAAATATAATTTGGTCCATAAACCGCCCCCTCTTCTTCTTCCTTAACTTTTGGGAGATGATGAACGCGAGTCAATTATATATGCCAGATGCGTGCTGAAGATAGTACATTCACTTTTTAAATCAAGTCCTAAATAATTGCACTTTACAGAAGAGTTATTTTTAAAAAGCTTACATGCTATCTCAAATGCGCCGAGTTTCGTGGCATGTGGAACGGCCATTCTCCCGACTCCAGCGTCCATGTCTAGTTATTCGGCTTTGGCAGGGTTTACTCCGGAGGATCTTGCGTGAAGACTGTTAAACGTTCTTTCCGATAATCAGAAAAATTCGTGGAGAATCTGCAGCGATATTTGCAGCCGCCGAGAGCCAAACTGTGCCAAAGAAAGCTTTTGTCGTCTAAACTGAGAGGAACTTCGCTTTTAACTACCTGTGCTTGGGTTAATTTTTTATAGTTTTCATGGCTTTCGGGAATTAGGGAACTTTCAGTCGGACTTTCGAGATAACAGTGCAAAAATAATTGGATGATGGTCTGATGTTATTTACGTTATCTTGTATCCAGTGGAATATTAAAAAAATTGACGGCCAGAAGATGCAAAAGTGCACTTTTTTGATAAAAATCTGCAGAATGCGTGCAATAGATTTCAGAACCACAAGATTCTGCTTACAAAATTACTGCTACACTCCTGTTCTTGATCCAGCGCATCTGCCGAATAACAGAAACGTAACCATATTCATTCTATTTTGGGCGGTGTTGGGTGCAGTAACGATTTTGATAGACGTGAGCGTTTATAGCTGCAGCGAGGGTTGATTTGCGTTATTTCAGCGTTTGATTGACAAAAACACAGCCCATCAGTAGGAAGATGATGCAGTAAAGTAAGTTTCGACATTCATTCAGCATTCCTACAGATGTTGTCCATAGCTTCTGTATAAACTGATTGTGCAAATGCCGATGGAAGAGTGCACGATGACTTTAATACGAATAACGGGGAATAAATGTGAAGGTTTTCCGGCGAAGGACGCAGTTAGTTCATTTCGATTTTGTACAAAAACGGTGTCATCCTATGCTAATGATGAAGAATCTGGGGAAAAAAATGTTTGTATTGTGAAACAGTGCGCAGTTTGTTGGTTTGTGTTTTTTTCGAGACAGCGGCGTCATTCTATGTGAATGTATGAGTTTCTGGCACTGTGCTGCGTTTTAAACAGATCAGATTTTGAGTCCTGCTGCACAAACAGAGATATTTGCTGCACCTGCATATCTGACACAGAATGAAATCCCTTTTTAAATGGTCACACATGTTTGGATAGAAAAAGTTTTTAAGAAACCTATACCAAACCTTACCGTGCAAAATACGGTACTGGCACATCAGGATGTCGCCAGACGTATACAATAAGAACAGAACAATGAGCGTTTCAAACATGCCTGATAAAGTCGATGATGAGAAGCCATGTTTGATCAATTGTAGTTACTGTTGGTTGGTATCTAGTCTGAATTGGCTGCCGTGCTTTCTATGCTACCCTGAGATTTGTGGTCATAGTATCCAATTCGATGTGCCGGTTAACGCTTAAGTCATCGGAGCTTATGGCCTCTAAAATGCACGGCTTTTATTCTGTGAGACAAGAGGCAACAATTTCGAATTGCTCCCACACACACTTGTGTCCAATTTCTAGGGTATGTACGATGTTTCGAGCAAGTGACTTTGCCTCTAAAGCCCTAATTCACGTTCACGTGAACGTGAAGAAGCATATTTTCCCTTCTGATCACAATCATCTGTATTGCCACCTTTTGAAAAGACTTCTATTCTGTTCAAACCGATTTTACAGCGTAGCCGTCGGCTTGTTGTTTATTTGGGATTTAGTGCTTCTTAAAATTTCTTTCTACGCTTTCAAGCACGTTCAGAATGTATAAAAATGAATGAATTAGGTAGTATTCATTTCGAACTTATAAATGAATAAGGAAGGTTGTCAGAAAATTGGGTCTCCTTCGTAAATTAAGAAGATGTTTTATCCAATCTGTCCTGAAAAGAAATAGAAAGCAACGGATGGGATTTACGCAGAGGCTACGTCAAGTGGCTGAGTTTCAAAGAGTGGCCACTGGTGCTACAAGTTAAGG